TCATCATGAACAACATCAACATCATCATCACCACCATCGTGACACCATCATCATCAGCAACATCATCATCATCATCATCATCATCATGACACCATCATCATTGCACCATCATAATCATCACCATCATCCTCATCGGGCCACCACCATTTTCATCAACATCAGCATTATCATCATCGGGCCACCAATATCAAAATCATCATCATCACCTCATCAGCATCAATATCACCACCATCGTGACACCATCATCGTCATCATCATCTTCAACATCATCACCATCATCATCGGGACCCCATCATCATCATCATCATCATCATCCACATCATCAGCATCAACCTCATTATCATCATCGGGACACCATCATCATCATCATTTTATCATATCATCGTCATCAACAGCACCATGATCATCAACATCATCGTCATCATCATCGGGACACCAGCATCATCATCAGCAACATCAACATCATCAACTTCATCACCGTCGGGACACCATCATCATCACCACCATGGCCATCATCATCATCATCAACATCGTCATCAACATCATCATCGGGACACCGACGGGACACCGGCGGGACACCGGCGGGACACCGCGCGTCACCGGTTGCCGGAAGGGAGACTTTTGGTCCGGCCGCGCCTCAGCCAGAGGCGGGACATTTCTCGCCCGCCCACGCAGCTTCGCCTCGCCCGCACGCACGGCACGCACGAACACGGAACCCAAACCGATTTCCCGGTAGGGGGGTTCTCCGTTCCTTTTCGATCTCGCCCCCTCACCTCCCATACATACATGTGTGCATGCAAGCATCTATTCCTAGATACATATATCAATATTTCTCTCTGAGGAATGGGCCCGCGGGCTGCTCTGGCAGCCATGTCGCCGCCTCATCGCTGCCCGTCGCCTGGGCCCGCGGGCTGCCTTGGCCGCCATGTCGTCGCCGTCGCGGCCTCGTCGCGGCCCGTCGCCGCCCGTCGTCGGGGCTCGCGGGCCGCCCTGGCCGCCATGCGGCCACCGTCGCCGCCTCGTCGCCGCCTCGTCGCCGCCTCGTCGCCTCGTCGCCGTCCACTTTGCATTGCTGCCTCGTCGCCGCCGCCTCGCCGCCCGCAGCCTCGTCGCCGCCGCCCCGTCGCTGCCCACGGCGGCGACATGGCGGCCAGAGCGTTGCGTTGCTACGCATGGCTGTGCTTTGTCTGTCATTTCTTGGCACTGCTTTATACCGTGTTGCGCTGCTTTGCTCTGCACTGCTGTGCACTGCGTTGCGTCACGTGGCACTGCTGCGCGTCATTGCGTTGCCATCGCAGTGCTCTGCAATGGCATTGCGCTGCGCTGCGCTGCTTTACGTTACTTTGCACCACTATGCCGTGCCTCGCATTGCTTTACATTCATGTGTTGTGATTCGCGTAACTTCGCATTGACTTACATTATGTTGCATTGTTGTAGGTTGCATTGCCTGCATTGTGTTGCATGTCGTTGCGCTGCTTTGCATTGCTTTGCACTGATTCGCGCACATAACTTGCAGCCCATGGATTGCACCACCTAGATCGCACCACAAGGATTGCACCACCTAGAGTGCAGCGTATAGGTTGTAAGACATCCCCATTTGGGATCAACCCTGGCTAACATAGATGCGCATACATGCATATACAACACAATATCTTGGGCTCTCTCCCTATCTTTCTCTATGTCTCTCTCGCTCTCTCTCTCTCTCTGTCGTGGCCTCTCCTCGCAAGATTCTGCCGAGCCCAGTCCGCCTGGAACGCCACTCACACGGCGTCTCCATCGTCTCTTCCCCCACGATCCCCCTCTGCACGATGTCATTCAGGCGAGACTCGACGCTTACTGCCAGCGCAACAGTCGCGAGCTTCCATTGTCTGCGTCCCGTGAAAACGCCTGGCAACACGTTCCATGGATCACGCCGCGTGCTGCGGTGGGGTGTGCCACTCCTCGACGCCGTGATGCATGGACCTAGAGGCACGCATGCCAAAACGTGCTGTGTGTGGCCTTTCCTTCACTACGGGTGTTCAGATCGGGAGCGCCATTTCTTAATCCCCACGCCCTTCTCCGCTTTCCAGCCGCAGTCCCTAGTAGACCGCGCCTGGTGGAGGTTTTCTGGCCACCGTCGTCTTGGAATGCGCGGTCCCTCCCGCCACAAAAGGTGGGCGCAAGGTGGCGTTTGTAGCCCCGCGGCCGGACACCCGTTGTCCGAGTTGTTGCGATCTCTCTCTCTCTCTCTCTCTCTCGCGTTCTTTTGCTCCCTCTCTCTCTCTCTTTTTTTTTCTCTCTCTCTCTCTCTCTCTTTCTCTCTTGCTCAAGCCAAGGTCGCTCAGGCCCTGACCGCAGGCCCCGACGCGCTGATCAGGGCAAAGTCGCCCTCGCCAGCCCCTGGCCCACACAGCGCACCCCCAAGGCGGTTGAGCGCTCGCCGTATGTTACCCCTGAGCACGAGGCCCTCGCCGACCAGGCTAGAGGCCCCCCCCCGCTGCAGGTGCTACCACCATCACCCCCTCCGAGGCGGGGCCGACCTCCGCTCTCCACTCGAGCCAAACCGCGTCGACCAGGCGCCACTCCCCGACAGGCGGAGGCTTGACACGGCGAAGCCCACCGTCAGGCCGCTAGGCCCAGGACCGAACTGGTGACCGCGCGAGACACTGACCGCCGCGCTGGCCACAGCACGCACCCGGTCAGCAGGGCCGCCGCCGACTGCCCCCTCCACGCCCTTGGTACAGCCCACGACCGAACGGCTGTACCTTACCATCCCCCACGAGGCCAGGACACGGGCGCTCCTGCCTCAGCTGTGGAGCCTGACGCGCGCAACTGGACGCAGTCGTCCTCGTCAGCCTCTCGCGTCCCGGGCCCACCCTGCGGGCCCACGGGACTAGGAGCCTGCTGCCCCCTCCCCAAGCACGAGCACTCCACTGACCCAGGCAGAGGGCCCTCCACTGGAGGTGTGGCTGGCCGGCGTGTCCCCGACTCGGGCCCTGCCTCCACCCCCCGCCCGCCCCGTGACGGGACGGACCAGGGGGCCACCGTCGGCCGACGGTGCCTCATGGCGCTGCCTACCCCCGGCCTCAAGGCCGAACCGATGCCCACGCGAGGCACCGATCGCCGCGCTGACCTTGCCACGCACCTCGGCAGCAGAGCTGCTGCTGGCCGCCTTCTTCACGCTGAGCCGAGCCCTAGGCCGAGCCGCTGAGCTATAGGAATCTTACGTCTCCCTGTGCCACCACTTCTCCGCGCTCACCCACCAGGGCCGATCCCTCGCCTCTCCCCAAGAGCTGCTCGTGCAGAGCCTCCACCGCTCGAGAGACGCCCTCGCGCCCCTCCGCCCCACACCCACGCCTGACGGGGCTACACCCGCTCATACGTTGCATGACCTTCTCAGTGCCATGCACGCCCGCACAGGGCCTCCGCCTTGGCCATAGGCCCACTCCTTGTCAGCCCGATTTCCCGCGCGGCCACGCGTCATCGGGGCCTGGCTGCGGCGGCGGGGGACGCCCCGTCGTTCGCAAGCCGCCTAGCGGATGAGCCCTTGGGGCCTCGCTGGCCTGGGCCTCCTGGGCTGCCAACTGGGGCCTCGCTGGCCTGGGCCTCCTTCACCCGCGGGCCGCCGAGAGACGTGGCGTATCGGCTGCTCAGCACCCCGCCTTTAACCTTAGTCGCCCTGTGCCCGGGGGTGGTTGTTTCAACGTCCCCTGTTCCCCAAGGTGTGCATCACCGCCAAGCGCCAAGCGTGCGATGGCGGCTTCGGCTACCGCAGTAGCCGGCTGTCGACGTGACTCCCGCTTACTTGTCCGATCTCTCTCTCTCTCTTTCTCTCTCTCTCTCTCTCTCTCTCTCCCTCTCTCTCTCTCCTCCTCTTTCCCACTCTCGCACACTCCAGAGGGAGGCGGGGTGGAGAGGGGGAAGATGGGAGGCGAGGGGGACGAGAAGGGGAATGTGGATGAGGATCAGGAGGGGGAGGAGGAGGAGGAGGAGGAGGAGGAGGAGGAGGAACACCCAAGGAGGAGGACAAACAGGAAGAGGCGGGGGAGAAAGAGGATCACCTGGATAAGCTGGATGAGGACCTCCCCGGACCGGAGGACCACCTCAGGCTCGCTTGCCCCTGCCCTGCTCAGTCAGCAAACCGGCAGCTCTTCCGTCTGGGGTCTGGCACGGCCAGGTCAGGGTGGGGCTGCAGAGAGGTCTCCCGCACCCTCTGGGCCGCGGTGGGCCTAGCAACCGATCCCTGGGAGGCCTGGCCAGGCTGGTCTGGGGCTCCAAGGCGTCAGCTGCCCGACCCATTCGAATCGAAGGCTGTTTCGCAAGTCGCTTCCTCGCGCGCTCGAGTGGCCTCTCGAGTCACTTTCGGCGGCCCTTCGCTGCCGGGGGGCTGGCCTTTCTGGAGCCACGATCGGTTGTCCGAATCTTGTCGCAAATCTGTGTCGACATGGCTGCGCCAAAGTTCCTGGGGTCAACAGCCTCATACAACCCGCAAGCACGACAGTACCAGAGCAATGACTCTCCCACCCAGTGACCGTGACGGGAGGTACGAAGTCTCGCTGAGATGTTGTGGTTTGTGACGGCTCTTGAGAATTTCTCACCTCCCGCCGCCCCCCCCCCTTCGGAGTCACACGGGGTCCCTCCGTGTGGCGTGGCGACGAAGCTGCGCACTTAGTGGACCTTCTGGCAACTGGCGCATCACCAGTGTCCGACACCGCACGGCTCGAGGAGGAGTGGGTTTCCGGCTGAGGATCAGGGCGTCTCTCGTGCCCATCGTGTCGTCCTCGGCCTCTGCCGCAGCCGCCAGAGCGCTCGTGGTCCGCTGGCGAATGAAAGACGCCGTCGTGTCCATCAGATCTGTTCTGCACGCGGCTCCCCATGCGTTGTCCACTCATCAGCAACGTCGTGTGGAGCTGATGCTAAGCGTGGCCCGCCATTGTTCTCGCTGAAGTGACGTCATTCGATCGATGTGTGGATTATCATATCTGTGTCAGGGATCCACGTTCAGGGTGCCAGCAGCCGGGATGCAGCTGCTGCGGGGCAGGTCCCCCTCCTCCCTCACCAGTCCTTTTCTTGCTCCTCGCTCGTCCCAACAGATCAGAAGCATTGTATTGTTGTTCTATTCTGGGGCGCATGAAGTTCCGATCCTTTTTTCTGGGGCCAGCTTTTTGTCCGGAATCGTTTTCTTGACAGTCCCGGAGCCCTGAAACAGCCCCTGGGGTCGAACGTGGCAAACACATTTCCATTTGGATGTGTCCACAAAGTTGGAGGGTCGGGTCCCTCCTCGATCCGCGCTCTTGCGCCTGGCTTCTCTCTTGCGGCAACATACCGCAGGCACTACCGCGATGACCTCGGCATACATTTCGGAGCCATTCGGAAGCCGCGCCTCGGGAACACCCAGCTCATCAAGCAGGCCGCTCGGCGCTGGCCCGATGCTGGCCTCGTGAGGGCTCGAACTGTGGCGTGCCGCGATCTGGCCCATCAGCCCCTGGCCCTCCTCCGCCTCCCACTGCTCAATGTCGGCCTGTCCTCCTCCACCGTCCTCCTCAGCAGGTACTCGCGATGAGTACTACTATTCTAGACGTTTCGCGTAACCACACCAGCCCATCCAGACACGATTCCTGGGCGATTCGCCCTGATCACGAGCCGTGCCCCAACAGGGAGAGGATGGAGGAGGATTCGGAGGAGGAGGGGGAGGGGGAAGGGGAGGAGGGGAGGGAGGAGGGAGGAAGAGGAATAGACGAACAAGGAAGAGGATCAGGAGGAGAGCGAGCTGAAAGGCCAGAGCCTTTTGGATGTCTCTCGGAGTCTCTTCGGATGTCAAGTGAGAGTTTCTGAGGGTCCTATGAGGGCGTTTTGAGTGCCCCGTAACGGTCCCAGGGGCCTCATAAAGCGTCTTGTGTGTCTCGGGAGAGTTTCATAAGAGTCCCTTGAGGACATATTTGGGGCCATCTTGTGGGCATGTCGAAAAAAAAGTGGGGATCAATCGCCCCCCTCCCCTCCGGAGGCCAAGATGGGCAACAACATCTTAGTAACGTCCGTATGTGCTGCCTTTACGACCCGCCTGCCCCCCAGTTCAGGTCCAGGGAAGGGGATATGGGGAGGGGATGAGGTCCTCGCGACACCGCAAGCCGTCTCGCTCACTCCCACCCACCTTCCCAACACACAAGTCGTTCCCGAGTTTTTGCAAATTTTCGAGGAGCGCCACGCATGCCATGTGCGCCACGGGTTCAGGTGCACCAGGCACTCCGAAATATGGGTTCCGAGGGGTATATGTATAGCGAGCATGGCGAGGTTGCCGCCGGCGTCTGGCTCAAGGTGCCGGCGCCCTATTTGTTTGGACTGCTTGAGGATTCGGCAGTTCACTATCGTACCTACAACAAGACCCGATCAGTCTTCTGGATGTTCCACCACATGGGCAGCTCTATGGTCCTCATTATGGTTTTTCCTTGGCAGCGGAGCTGTACCCACTAAGTTGTGGCCAGCTCTGTCTATCGCAGTACTTATCCTCGGCACGGTTTGGTATGCCACCGACACCACTGCGACGCCAGATCATGACTCTTGGCATGCAGGCGGAAACGCGCTTAGCGGACACGCTATATCCACTTTGGGCGACATCCGCCTGACCACGCCGAAAAGCGTACACGCCCCGTCTTTACGCCACTTCACCCCATTTTGCGACGAACTCGGAAACAAGTTGAGATACACAGTTCAATTTCGCGGAAGCGCGAACCTCACTCTCTTCCACGGCCAAATCGTAGCTTAATGGCGACAGACACACCGAAGAACACCAACGACGACGTCAAAGACTTCTCATGGAATTCCTATGCCATTTTAATTTTATGTCGTTGGTTATCGGGTGTGCTATAGGGTACATGCAACTTGGTAACCACAATGACGGAGGCGATCATACGACAAGGGGCCCATACTGGCGCCCATCAGGGAACGTGCCGCTCCTCGAATTTTCGCGTGAAGTACACGCGCGGCTGAATGTCACGAGCGCCCGCTTGACCCCACAACAACGAGCTGCACGCCTGCAGCGTGGTCTGGGCGGGGGAGCACGCACCATTGCGATGCGAATCCGTCCCCAGATCATCAACTACGGCGCGGCGATACCAAGGGCGTCCACACGGACCCCGCCACGTACATAATGTGTCTCTTGAGCGCCAAATTCGAGATCCTCGACGATGAGCGACAGCTCACCTCAGGAACGGCGCTCATAAACTTCAGGCCCGAACCTCGCGGGAGAACGGATTCTATCCTCGCCAGGTACGAGATGGCCCGTCTTGAGGCTGATTCAGTCTGCTCTGCCATCCCGGATTTGAATTTGCTCACGGCGGTGATCTTAAGAGCCCTGAGGTTCGGCCCGGGCAGGGCCGCATAGATGCTCCAGCCTCTCGACGGTCAGATGCCGCGGACCCAGATGCCACGGGCCCAACAGGAATGCGGTGAGTTACTTGACCGCATGCGCAGCTTTGAGTATCTGGCGGAACGTGCTCCTCGCGACATCGGAGACGTGCCGCTGGGGAGGACAGGGCGCGGAAACGCGAATACATGCATGGCAAACGCCGGTGGAGACGCGGCCGCGCCCAGTGGCATAAGGGCTGACGACCCCAACAATTGAGAGGAGGCCACTGCGCTACTCTCGACGGCCCCTGAAAGTCCTGGGACAGGTAGAAGCTACCCAACGCCATCAGCACAGCAGGGCTGGGGACAGCACTCTAACCCACAATCGCGCACGGCTCCCGAGAGCCAGACAGCCCGATGAGGCCAAACCTCCAGTTGGGATTCGCCCGTCGACTCAGGGACAGTTAGTGCCTCGCTACCACCCAACGGAACAGAAAGGATAGATATGTCAGATTTACCCCCCGATCTCGGTGATGCGGAAAAGCGTTGGCTAATTATTCCTAGGTTACCCACGCGCACAACGCCGCTGGAGGCGGTTCATCCAGAAGCCCGCGCGGCGCGCGCGTAGGGCATTGCGGAAAGTATTTCACCGACGGGGGAAGGGTCGTGGAAAGGGCGGTCGTCGCAACCGACGGTCGCGCGGAGATGGCTCGCCGCATTCACGGCCGCATTTTCCGAAGCCGAAATTGGGGAAATCGGGTCGAGGCAGACGCCGCTCCACGGGAACGGGGAAAGGCAGGAAACTCAACCCATGGACCAGAACGGGCCCTTCTGACGGCCCAAGGAAGATCGAGGACGCGGAGCGCGCCGATCGGCCAGAACTCGATCCCCCGTCAGCGAAAACTTTTCTTACATACTTCCATTTCCACCGAGAGGTGATGGCCCGTGCGTTCGACGACATGCCCCCCGGCTGTAGCGAAGACGCTACTGCGCGCGACGTGGGCGTCTCCGAGGCTGGGGCGGCCCCTGCTGCGCCAGCCGAGCTGCGCGGCGCCGGCTCACCCACTGTCGCGGAACCGCATGGGCCGACGCCCTCGACAGAGACAACCATGCCGACGGGAGTAGACGCATTGCGTGGAAACACAACGAGGCAGAGAGTCGGGCCTGCGACTGCGATTGCGCCGGAAGACTTCATGGACGTTGGATGGGGCATGACGTGCCCCGACGCATGCATGACGCATCGCGACCCGCGGGGCCGTTCGCGTGGCCCTGTGGGGGCGCCGCCCGATCGGGGCGGCCCCCGCGCCCATCTCTCGCGCAGACATGGAATACTGGCGCGGCCAAGGTTGGACTGGGAATCAGATCCGCCACTGGCGCGGCGCCCAGCGCTGCGAGCGGGGCGAAAGGGGCGGGGCCGCGCGCTTTTCCGCGGGGGCGCGCGCCCGCCAACGCGAAGAAGAACGGGATGCTTGGCGGAAGCGCGACAATCTTCGCAACGACTATCGCGTTTGCGCACGTTTTCGGCCCGCGCCCTCGGAGTCCCACCGCGCCCCCTTCAGCGGGATGGAACATGCCGCCGTCGCCCAGCTTTGCGCCGACCTCCCCGCGCGCCACGAGTTGAGGAGGCACGACCTCCAGCATCGCGAATGCGAGGAGGGCGAAGGCGGAGACGCTGAAAGGGGGCGGCGGAAACGTCGGAGAAACCGAAGAGGGCACCGCCGATGCCGACCATCGCAGAAACGCTGCAAGTGCTCCAGGCGCGGCTGCCTCATCGGAGGCTGCGCCGGCACCTGCTCCAAGCCCGACTGGCTCGACCAAGCAGATGGTCAGCCAGGGGGGGTGGCGGGCAAGCCGCGTGAAGGGGAAGAAGAAGCGCCCTGAAGGCGCTGGGGAACCAGTGGACATATCCCCCACCCCCTTGTCCGATCACACAGACAAGACTGACGCGCTCGAGCGAGGCGCTGCCGCTCCGCCCCCAGGTCCTTTCAGTATGGAGAGTACTCTGTCTGAGGAAATCCTGCTACCGACTGCGAGGCGCCGGGTCGAGTCCGCCGGTTCGGAGAAGCGCAACATGTAAACCGACAAAAGGCATCGCCTGTCGACCCGCGGAAACGCTCAAGGGGGCCGAAGGCGGCGTCAGCCGCCGCTATGTTCAGCGGCAAGGCAGCCCCGTTGCCGCAGGAAACGGCGGCCCTTCAGCCCCAACAGTCTCAAGATCAGGATGCGCGCCGATGGGGCTGGAGGCCGCCCCTGCGAGGCGGCCGACAGCATGGGGCCTCAGCGCCCCAACGCCGGGACTGGGGCTTCTTCCTCTGCCGCCGACAGCGCGCCGAAGCCGCCATTTCCAACGGCGCCGCCTCCTCCAACGCGACAGTGTCAACTTGGAGCAGATGGGCGAGACCGCCGCCGCGCCGCCAGCCGCGCCGCTGACCCTTCAGACACTGGAAACGGCAAAGGCGGAATCGCTGAGAAGAGAGGCGGTGGTAGAGGATCCGCGGAGTATCGCGCTATGGATGACGAGGATGATCTGATTGTGGATGCTGATTGGTGCCGCGTTTCCATATGTGATTTGCAGTTCGCACTGCTCTGCATTAACGACGCAGAGAGAACCGTGCAACGCGCGCGCAACCTCCTCCGCTAGAAGTTGCCCACGCGACCCATCTGGGGCGAAGGCCCGCCCATGGTGAACAACAGGCGGGCCCTTCCTGGTCGCGAGGACCTCGCACTTATGAGCCAATGGTTTTCTGAGATACTTCGCCACCGGCCTTTCTGTTACGCTGACGGCAAGGACCGATGCGACGAGCTGTTTCTCCGTGAGCGCCCGGCCTTCGACGTCGTTGATGGCTGGACTTCTCTGCCGGATAGCTTCGCACATCAGCGCGGCGGAAAGGGCTGGCCATGAAGCGCGCGGGCCATGACGAGGCAAGCGTGGGCTACATCGCATTGGCGACTATGATGACAGCGGAGGTGGTGTGTAATTCAGGCGAACAGAAAGTCGCCTGTAGATCAAGGAATTCCACCGCGGAAACGCGACAGCTGGCGCAAAACACGACGATTCTGCAATCA